TGGATTCTATTTAGACATCACGTGGTGCAAATACTGAAAGTGCATTGGTTATATTTTATATGGTTTGAAATAAAGTGAGATTTACGCCAAATTATCGCTATAAATATGACAAGAATAAATAAGTATACATGAAGTACCAAGTGCTAGCCCACATGGTCTCTTTCCGGTGGCGAGGATATACAAACACACAACTATACATGAAGTACCATCATGCGGATCTGTCAGTCTTATTAGTAAATGAGTGTACGTGAATCTAATAAATACTGTATAAATAATAATAATAATAATAATAATAATAATGATGAAGAAGATGATGATGATGATGATGATAATAATAATAATAATAATAATAATAATAAATTAATAATGATAATAATAATAATAATAATAATAATTTTAACAAAAACAATTACAATTTAGATAGAATCAATTTATTCATTAGTCTTTTAACAGTAACAAAACAATAATTATTATAACCGGAGTTCAGCCATTGAAGCTGAATCTCTAATCTCAAAAATTCTCGCTCGTTATCGTAATCCACGTGATATCCCTGCAGTAAGTTTAATCTTATTATATGTCTCTTATTTATATGTCTCATATTTAATGTCCTTCGAAGAATTCCGCTATTAACATACACATGTACGGATTATTTGCAAGATAAATTGCATTTTTTTAAATGGCGAATTGTATACTGATCTCGAACATGACCATATTAATCCTGTATAAGTGCAAGTAGCTTTTCCTTCCCTACAGGAAGTATTCAAATAGTTACACTAAATTTTAAGTATTCACAACAAGTAATACTGTCTCATTGGTTCCACCATTTTCTCCCTCGGCGTGGCACGTGTAATTGCCCTTATCGTGCACTGAAATCCTATGTTCCTTTATACGGAGCTCGAGAAAGCGCACTGGAAAATTATCATTTTCTTCTTCTTCTAAAACCTTAAAGAAAAGAAAAAGCACAATACACTTAAAGCTACATGCTTCAAATCTTCACATAAAATTGTATAAATATGTAAAATATTCAACAGTGCATGTGTCTTAATTTGAGCCGCGTCACGACAAAACCAACATAATGCGTTTGCGAACAGCATGGGTCCAGACCAGCCTGCGCATCCGCGCAGTCTGATCAGGATCCATGCTGTTCGCTTACCAACCCTATTACAAGAAGGGAAACTGATAGCGAACAGCATGGATCCTGATCAGACTGCGCGTATGCGCAGGCTGGTCTGGATCCATGCTGGTCGCAAACGCATTACGTTGGTTTTGTCATGGCGCGGCTCATTTTTTAAATTGAATTTACTATTAAATCGCTATTGGTCCACACGATTACGTAGAAATAGAATACGTGTTCATTATTTTCATAATTTTAATGTTTTTGAAAACAGTCTGTGCAATAGGCTAGCTCATATCCATTTTAAGTACTTTTGCATTTTTTAAAAACAGATAAACAAGGCTGTACTTATAGGCACATAAGGTATAAATTTGCGGTAAGATAAAAAAACAAAAAGTTAAAAATCGCAACTCAATTTTATTTATTCTAATTATCTCAATGAGAGTAAAATAAACAAAAGACCAAATAACTCTTCCAATAACTCTTTTAATATATAACTTCTCTATTCTAATTCAAACTACACATTCAGCCATGTTCGCAGTACGTTGACAACGTCATACCAGAAAAAAGGACAAATTTTCATTCTGCCGAATCGTATTTGCCGATGAATGGCATCATGAAATAAAGCAACATTAAATTTTATAAAGGTATGTAAACAATGTACTAATCGCTACTATACCTCATATTTCCAATCTGTTTTAATTCTCAGGCCCTTACTGTTTATCCAAAAAGTCTCTTTCATTGGGGATGCTTGAATAGCACAGCCCATTGTCACCGCTTCACTGGGTGCGACATGTATCACAGACTCCATTACACTTACTTCCGGTAAAACTAAAATTAGTATTACATGAAATTAAAATTGTTCTTGCGGCTGCAATCAAATATTACTTTAACGCAAAATACCACAAAGTGGAGACATTCAAGTGCCTTATATGACATCTGTGTATATTTTGTATCAGAATATATCGTAGGTCAAAATATTAGTTTTTCATAGTATAAATATAAGTAAATAAAAGTGCAAATCTGAGGTTTGAATAGTAAATATTTGGGTTAATAGTGGTACAAATATTGGTTAATTAACGTACAAATATGAATTTATTGGTTTGTCAAAGTACATATATATGAGTTTATCAAAGTACAAATATGGGTTAATTATAGTACATCTATGATTTTATCATAGCACAAATATGATTTTATCATAGTACAAATATAATATTATCATAGCACACAAACAATATTATCATTGCACAAATATGATTTCATCATTGCACAAATATGATTTCATCATAGTACACATATAATTTTATCATAGCACACGTGCAATTTTATCATAACACAAATATGATTTTATCATAGTACAAATATGACTTTATCATAGTACAAATATAATATTATCATAGCACACAAACAATTTTATCATTGCACAAATATGATTTCATCATTGCACAAATATGATTTCATCATAGTACAAATATAATTTTATCATAGCACACGTGCAATTTTATCATAACACAAATATGATTTTATCATAGTACAAATATGACTTTATCATAGGACGAATATAATTTTATCATAGCACATGTACAATTTTATCATAGCACAAATATGATTTTATCGATATCATAGCACACGTATGATTTTATCATACCACAAATATGATTGAATTATAGTATAAATATGATTTTATCAAAGCACACATATGATTTTGTCATAGTACAAATATGATTCTATCATAGCAAAAATTTTTTTTATTATTGTTTAAATATGAGTATATCATACATGTAGTACAAATATTGGTTTATCATAGTACAAATATAGGTTTATCATAGGACAACTATGGGTTTATATTAGTATAAATATGGGTTTCTTTTGGGACAAATGGGGTTTTATTATAGTAAAAATATGGGTTTCTTTTAGGACAAATGGTGTTTTATTATAGTATAAATATGGGTTTACCATAGTACAAATATGGGTTTACCATAGTACATATATGGGTTTATCATAGTACATATATGGGTTTATCATAGTACATATATGGGTTTATCATAGTACATATATGGGTTTATCATAGTACATATATGGGTTTATCATAGTACATATATGGGTTTCTTTTAGGACAAATGGTGTTTTATAATAGTATAAATATGGGTTTACCATAGTACAAATATGGGTTTACCATAGTACAAATATGGGTTTACCATAGTACAAATATGGGTTTACCATAGTACAAATATGGGTTTATCATAGTACATATATGGATTTATCATAGCACACACATATGAGTTAATAATAGTTCAAGTATGAGTTAGTTTATCATACTAAAATATTTGTCTATACCACAACAAGTATGTTATATAACATATAAAAATATTTTATATAACATATAAAAATAATTTAAATAAATCATGTTTGTGAAAAGAGGTTAACATTCATAAGCACATTTGGAAATATAAATAAATTAAATTAAAATTTCAGAACTACACAACTGTACATTTTTATTCCTTTTGGTTTTTAAGTATGTTTCACAAGCAGGTTTTTTAGTATGTTTCACAAGCAGGTTTTTAGTATGTTTCACAAGCAATGATTTATCGCTTTAAGAATCAACTACATGTTCTACTGATAACAAAACAGATTGATTTAAGATATGTTGAGCATTTTCACTTCTGTGAGAAAGATTCAAAGTTTTAATTTTATTTCTTTGTATAATAATAATGCTTTTAATTCTTATTTTGTACCTTGAGCGCTAACAGAGTAAAATCAAACTTGCGCTAAAAAAGAGAAAAACAAAACTTGTACATATAATAAAGGAAATAATTCAAACTTTTCTTTAAAGAGATATTAAAAGAGATAATTCAAACTTACACTGAACAGTGAGTTGTATAGATTTTTCCTTGAATCCGCGATCGTTTGTTGCTTTACAAGTGTAATTATCACTGGCATATCTTGGAACGTTCCGAATTATCAATTTAGGTCCCTTGATACCTTCAATTACTGTCAAAATAGATCAAAATATATTTGATAAAAATTTATTGACCACTGTATGCAAAATAAAAATGAAAGATTTTCATTTTTAGTTAATGTTATAAAGTTTAAATGGTGAAATAAAAACAATAGTATTAATAATGTCTGTTTTAGTTAGCGGAACATTTAACAGACATAAGGAACAGAGTTTATTATTATGATCAATGGTCATATATCTGCGTTTTCCAATGGATAATAGATGATTCATTGTTCTAAATTTGCATAAATTTTGCCTGTGTCAAATGGAAGTATATGTACATTTAAACAGTTTCCAAAACAATGACTATATTTTTATATGTACGATACACTAAGCACTTAGAAGAAGTATCAATAGAACTATGCTAATTTTGTAAATATTTTGATAATGTAGTCTAAGCTTCACAATACGTTTAAAGTGATTAATATCATTACTTTCTGTTGTTAAAAATATTCTGACATTAAAGCTTTTACAAATATTATCCGCTATTTTAACTTACATTTCTGTGTCGAACCTCGGTGCCATACTATATCCGGTTCCGGTAACCCAGAAAAAATACATTTTAATTCAACTAATGAATGTTCACGGATAATAACATGAGCTGGCGACGATTGATCCTCTTCTATTGTCGGTGTGTCTGTAAAGTTAATAAAAATTGAGTTTACCACACTTTGTTCTTTTTCATACGTTTACATACAGTAATGATTTTTTTCTTTTGATTAACTAAAAAAACTTAATTAGTGTCTAAAATAGAGCTAGTTAAGTTATAGAAAATGAAACGGGGCGTCCGTGGCCGAGTGCTTTAAGGTCGTTGACTACAAACCACTTGTCTCACAACGTACTGGGTTTCAATACAACTTGAATTTCTTTTTAATTAAAACATGGACGTTGAACATATGTTACTCGTAATTTACACGATAGAAGAACATATAATTATGTTGTTTAATACTTAAAATATTTCAGTAACAAATTTGCTACGCTGAAAAAAATGAAAAATTCAAACCTAAATCAAAATCTGAAACAAGTAAGAACAGTTTAGATGTAAGTGAAACTTTCGAAATAATCTTTATAACTAATAATACAACAAACTGTGAAGGTAAATGTTAAAACTTATACATTATGTATATATTTCAAGCGAACCGGAAGTGTCTTATTTTTCATGTGCTGTTACTAGATCTATATACAGCATATATACATGTATAGGATGTGACATTAGATATCTTAAAGACGGTTTACATAGAAACTAAGTGGTCGTTTTATTATAAGTGTGAAAAAAACCCATAAAAACAGTCGAACATCTTGGTTAATATCAATAATAACTAATCCAAGAGCAGAGATTTTGTGATTGAAAAAGGACGTAATAAATTACATACTCGCAGAATACAAAGGTAAGTGATGTGATAAATAGAATTATCATGCACGATTTTCACGTACGTTCTAGGGCAACTGTGACCTCTGACAAAATGGTCCCATTCGTTGTTCTGCACTTGTAAGTATCCGCAAATCGTCTGGTCAGTTTCAGTATATTAAGTTCAAACTCGCCAAAGCCAGGTTTTTCTACCTTCATTTGTTTATTGTACCTCACCATTTTGTATCCACGCGAAAGCATTTCGTGTCTACCATTAAACCATCGTACCTTAAATATGTTTTTATATCGGTAAGTCATCTGGAGACGAAAGGCTTCTTTTCTTTCAGAAATATATTTAACAACATATGTAATATATATCTTAATCATATAATTTGAATGTACATATTTTGCTATAGACCTTTTTACAATACGATTTTCCATAGCAACGAATGTTGCATTTCGCGCATGCGCATTCTGCGTAGGGCAAAATGCAATAACGGTGTCTACAGTCTATCATTCTTTAAGGCTTTATTAAATGCAATTTCATGTTATGTCACCCAAAAACATTAATTTGGGGATGACTAAAGGCGGTAAGTACTGAAAACGTGAATTTATTTTTTAACAGATATACGAAAATGTGCGGGACTAATAATTCAATTGTCAAAAAGGGCACACACATGTCGTTTGTTTAATGTATCATTAGACGACTTTTTCGTCAGTAATTTAAATTGAAACAGCAGGGTGTTATAGATAAAACTTTATTACCCCTGTATTACATAATATTACCCCTGTATTACATAATATTACACAATTTGTATTGTACACTTCCTTAGAATAACTGGATTGGTCAGGCGGCAAGTGTCAAACAGATTGGCACGCGAACGGTTGTTCATTCAACCAGGACTTTAAAATACCATGATATAGTTAATCAGTTACGCTTATTAAAATGATAAATTATGTAACTTTTGAATATACCTATCAATGTTTATGGATTTTGAGAAGGGAAAAATTGTGTGACATGCATTATTAAAAATATCATGTATTACGAAGAAGCGGATAAAATGTGTGTTTTGTCTCTTGCAAACAACCCATATTAATTTCTCTAGATTTTGAAGAGAAAAAAATAATTATTTAAAATCTATTTATGTGACATAATTTTTTTCTGTTTGCATCACAGGCAAGTCGGATAAAGGATAATATAATCAGGTATATTGAACATTATCACTTGTTCTGGTAATTTTTCAGAATTAAAATTAATCTCGATTTCATGTTTTAAAATTTCTTTTGTTTTTATATGAACTATTTCACAGCAAATAAGTTGACTTTTCATTTGCTAATAGATACATTTCCACATCTTCTTTAAAAAAATGATCTCAGTGTCAGGTCCGTGATCGTAAATTCTTAACCAAGTATCTTTTCCATGCCTTTTTATGACATTCTTCGCCACAAAGCTATAAGTCATCTTTTCTATATTTGTTAAAAGCTATTTCATATAATTTTCTACCGTATACCTTGAACTAACTCGATATCGTCTATGAACTTCTACTATATTTCTATGTAGGGCGAAGCATTTTCTGCCCTACGCAGATTGCGCATGCGCGAGAAAATTCTAATTCCGGTCGATTTTTCATAGCAACGGACCGCGTCGTAAAAAGGTCTATATTTACTGCATGGATAACATACATTAATTTGAACCAAATGTAAGAAAATGGTCTTAAAATTTTCTTTTTAAGTTTATTATGCTATTCAAATTTTATAGTACATGATTTATATACTTTTTCACCACATTGTCCTATCCAAGTTGATTTAAATGTAAATAGTTATGAACAATGTAATGTTACAAATAATTCTACATTATGTGAAAAAATTGTATGGGATAATGAAAAAGTTGATTATTACCGAGACGTTATTTCTGCTGAACTGTCTAATATAAATGACATTGTTAGTTGTATTGTTTCAAAAGAAACTAATGTTAGCGCTGGAATAAATGAAATATCTAATATTTTGTATGATAAAACTAAAAGTGTTTTTGGTAAAACTACGTGTAATAAAAATAATACATGTGTTAGAACGTATAAGAGCCCATGGTTTAATAAAGAATGTGAGACCGCTAGGCGAGAATTTAGGACTGTTAATAAATCTCTTAATAAGAATAAATCTGTAGTAAATTTTGAATTGTTAAAAACTAAACGACGAGTATATAAAAAAGCTAAAAGAAAAGCACGATCTGAGTATAATGGGAAACAGAGGAAAAATCTACAAAATTTAGCCAAGCACCAGCCTCAAAAGTTTTGGCAAGAAATACGAAAAATTAAAAACAAAAAATCTAAAGCTGGAGATATTTCTGAAGAACATTTTTTCAATCATTTTAAAACATTATTTGCGGAAAATAGTGCTTTCATTAATAATGAGGTTGAGGATGAATTGAATCAGAAAAGTTTAGATGAAAATGTTATTGAACAACTTGATAAAGAATTTAGTATTGTTGAGATAAATTCAGCTATTTCTTCTTTGAAAAGAGGTAAAAGTGGGGGTGTAGATATGTTGATTAGTGAAATATTTATAGAATGTAGTGATCTTTTACTTCCTTCTCTTTATAAATTGTTTAATTTTATGTTTCTTAATAGTGTATATCCTGAGATATGGACAAAAGGTATGATAGTTCCAATCCCCAAAAAAGGTAATGCTGATGATGTAAACAACTATAGAGGTATTACCCTTACCAGTGTTTTTTCTAAAATATTTTCTTCAATGTTAGATACACGTTTGCGCAAGTGGGCCGAAACTAACAATTTGTTATCGGAGTACCAGTATGGGTTTCGTAACGGCAAAAGCACCATAGATTGTATTTTTGTTTTAAATTCTATAATTAATAAAGTTATTAATAGTGAGAAAAAGAAATTATATTGTGCCTTTATTGATTTTCGTAAAGCATTTGATGTTGTATATAGGAATGGTATATGGTTAAAATTATTGAATTATGGAGCTTCCTCTAAAATTGTCAAAATGTTGAAAGCTATGTATGAAAATGTTAAAGCATGTGTTAGAGTTAATGGGTCTGTAACTGATTATTTTGACTGTAATAATGGTGTTAAACAAGGCGAACCATTATCTCCTTTGTTGTTTATCTTTTTTATCAATGATATGTATGAATATTTGTATGATGATAATGTTGAGATGTTTACGTTAGAAGATATGAAATTATTTCTGTTATTGTTCGCCGATGATACAGTTTTGTTTTCATATACGAAAAGTGGTTTACAATTGTTACTAGATAAACTATATATGTATTGTCATGAATGGGGAATCACTGTTAATCCAGAAAAATCAGTTGTTATGATATGTAAAAAAGGTACTAGACAAGAAAATGATGTATTTATGTATAATGACCAAATTTTGAAATGTGTTAATAAATTTACTTATCTAGGTGTATCTGTTTCGTCAAACGGTAGCTTGTTTCAAGCACAAAAATCTTTGTCAGAACAAGCTTTAAAGGCACTTTACTCACTTAATTCACTTTTTGATAAGGTATCTCTAGAAATATCGGAAAAGTTAAAATTATTTGACTACATGATTATGCCTATTCTCAATTATGGTTCTGAAGTATGGGGTTTGCATAATGCACCAGACATAGAACATGTTCATAAAAAGTTTTTGAAGCAACTTCTGGGTGTAAGACAGCAAACAGCAAATGCTGCTGTATATGGTGAATTTGGAAGGGTACCATTGTTAATATTACGCAAAATACGTGTTGTTAAATACTGGTATAGAATAATTAAACAGCCTGATTCTCTTATGTATAAATTGTTAATGATGAAAGATAGAAATAATCAATATGTTAATAAATGGTCGATTGATGTTAAAAAATTGTTTCAAAATTTAGGATTTGCTAATATTTTTGATAATCCCAATGTTATTGATTTAAAAACCATCATTCAACGTATATATGATCAATATAATCAACAATGGTTATCGGAAATTAGTAATTCATCAAAATTAGAGACGTATAAGATTATAAAAGATAGTTTTGATTTTGAAAAATACCTTTCTTTAGTAATAAATCCAAAGTTTAGAAAAGCTTTGTCACGATTTAGATGTTCAGCACATAGACTTATGATAGAAGAAGGTAGATTTAGGAATATTGACAGAGATCAGAGAATTTGTTTAAAATGTAATATGAATGAAATTGAAACAGAATATCACTTTTTACTTGTTTGTCCATTTTATAGGGAATTAAGGAAAGAACATTTACCAAAATATTATTGCTCTTGGCCTACCTTAAATAAATTTATATCTTTAATGAAAAATTCTAAGCATGGAACTGTTAATAGATTATCAAAATATATCTACTTTGCAAATGTATTACGTGATAGAACTAATGATTGATTGTTTTCAAATACTGATATTGGTATACATAGAATACTATTATTTACAAACATATATATTGTAATACATCAGATATGTGTTCTTTACAATATAAGAATGTTAATGTAAAAATTATTTGTATTCAGTTACATACTTTTCTCATATACTATTTGTAACCGTCATTCTGTTTATGGCGACGGACATTGTAAAATGTTTATGCCTTTTGAAATAAAATCTTGAATCTCTTGAATCTTGCTATACCCCAAGTAACCAGTAATGACCAAGATTTGTCGACACTTCCGTGCAGTCTGTTCATGGTCTGCACTTTTTGCTATTAAATCAGTTTATATTTTTAATTATTCTCTAAAAATGGAAAATTCAAAGATGGGCAAGTCCAATTAAAATATTCAGCTTGAAAATGAGTAATACAAATGAATCGCTCTTTAAACACAGATATTTTTTCAATTATGACTGCAATTACGATATTAAGTAAATTAAGTTATTGTTTCTATAACAAAGGAAAGATTTTACTACCTATAATCTATTAGAGTGTTAATATGCCAATTAACGCTTTTTTAAAAATTGCATCAATTTGACTCATGATACTGATGGGGACAATCAACTCTAAAATTGAAACTGACGACGTCATTCATAAAGGAAAATGATAATATTAATAACCATTCACCATCACTATCATGACCATTGCCAATCACCACCACCACCATCATCATCATCATCATCACCACCATCATCATCATCATCATCATCATCATCATCATCATCATCATCACCATCATCATCATCATCATCATCACCACCATCATCATCACCATCATCATCATCACCATCATCACCATCATCACCATCACCATCATCATCATCACCATCATCATCATCACCATCATCATCATCATCATCATCATCATCATCATCATCATCATCATCATCATCATCATCATCATCATCATCACCACCACCATCACCACCATCACCATAATCATCATCACATCATCATCACCATCATCATCATCATCATCACCACCATCATCATCATCATCACCATCATCATCATCATCACCATCATCATCATCACCATCATCACCATCATCATCACCATCATCATCATTAATTCAATATAATATGTGAAGAATTTTAAGAGATGATTTAAATTTATTGTTTAATAAAAATAATAAAGAATGTGAAACACACAAAAAAAAGTGGGCCAGGTTTCAGTAAATTTATTTAAGACCTACGTTTCGGCTTTTCAAATAGCCTTCATCAGGGTTAATTTGTTGTTGTACGCAGAAATGATAGAAACGCTGAAAACAGAACCTGAAATACATTGACTTACTTCCACATTACTATTCGGATACGACGGGGTCAGTCTGCACGGTAGTTTGCACGAGAAATTAAGCACGCATGACTTTGTAATTCCCTTGGACATATCACTAAGTATCACTTCCGTACAAACTACAAATTATAGAGAAAAAAGAATGCAAAAATAAGAATAAGTTCGAAGAAAAATAACTTAGTAACTTAACTAATTTAGTATTATAAATAATCATATTAGATTTGATTTTCTCGGTCATTTTGGAGACTCAATCAAACTGAAATGTTAAGTACAGTAATTCCAGACATCACACACCAATAGTTTTCCCAGATATAACAAAAGAGTAATAGATTTTTTCGAATTGTATAGTTTTTCCCAGATATCAGAGAACTCTTGAATTGTTCTAGCATTTTAATTTTTCCAGATATCACAAAACACTCATATTGTTCTTCAACTCAAGTTTTCCAAGCCATCACAAAACACCCAGTTTCTTCAAGGTGTATAGTTTTTCCATATATCACAAAAGTCTTGAATTGATAATAGCATTTATAGTTTTCCTATATTATTACGTTATACACTAACTTTTCTTGAAGTATGGTATTCCGAAATACATCACATAACACTCGTAGATTTGTTACGTTCAGTTTTCCCATATATCACATTTACATTCTTAAATTGTTTTAAAAAATAGTTTTTCACACTCTTCATTTATTTCTAAATCACACAACACTCTAGAAATAGGCCTAGAAGTATTCCAGATATCACATAATACACCGAGAAGTATTGTTATGCAAGCTAATCACATTGTAGTTATGGTAAATGTTTTGTCTGTTTTTAACGTTTTAAACTGTTTTAGACCATATTTCACCCATTTTAGAACATTTTATATGTACCAAAAATATAACTTTGACAGGTGGAAATTCCCCTCTAAAATACAGCTAGTATATTAAATATAATAAATAAAATATTCAAATATTAATTTTGTAGTTTGTTTTATCAACAGACTGGAAATCGATTTAAAGCAACATTCCTTCAGATTCAGATAATGTTGATGATTTTTTTCCATATTTTTTAATGTTTTTAAAAGTAAAATACACATGTATTGTAAAGAGAACAAAGGAAATAATTGCAAACACACTTGCAATACACGTAAATTACCCCCCAAAAAAGAGGTGAAAATTAGCATATTTAGTCCTTACTTCGAAAGTCACACACTAGCAAAATCAGTCAATGTATACATTGTTTATCATTTAAATTATTAATTGAATTTTACAATTTTTACTTTTCTTAAAATCTAATATACATTTTTCTCAACTTTAATTTCCTTGAAATATTTTTGGCTCATCTGGAAGCATTCAGCTTTAGGAGTGTTATGTGATAACATATATGTATGACATTTCATGTATGTTATGCATCACTCCCAATGGCAAATTATTGAAAAATGTTTATCAAATAATGAATAATAGGACTCAGCGGCTTGTATGACATTATAACTTGATGGTGTTCTGTAATCATTGTTATAACCACTTCCTAGCAAGATAGTATTTTAATTCTTACTGTAAAAAGATGGCCTGTCTCATCTCGAATACAAATACGGAACATTTTTCTTATAGCATAAACAGTTCATGATAACAGCAAAAGATAAGCTCAAATTTGCAGGGATAAACTTTCGTTTATTTACATGGATACATAAATTAGCACAATATCTCATCGCGTACCACAATTAGTACGACTAGGATGGACTTCAGCTTTCAGATCGACATAAAGTATTTCAAGCAACATAATTACTTCCAAACCCAACATGATAATCTCAAATGAAAATACTTCATCTAAAGTTTGTATATCCGGTCAAGGAACTTCTGAGCAGTTATACACGTATACTCTAACCATCCTTGATCCTTACACTATAGACTCTGAAAACTTTTTCTGATTAAGTTATTTGAGAATTTCATTAAAACATTTATTTAAGTGAAAAACAAAATAAAGTTTTATATACGTACATTTAAACAAAACAATTAGCAGATACTGCTTAACTCCCATATCTTCACGAATAAGACAACACTTTATCATGCCATTATACATGTATTTTCACACATTTTTAAAATTGTCAACACTTTGTATCATTTTATTTCCTTCAATGAAACATTGTTGTAAGTATGCACACAAACTGTCAAGGATGGTATTCGACACATATACCATTATAATATCTGCCATTTAAAATTATCACTAACTTGAAGAGCTGGCTTCCGCTAATCATATATGATACATTTTAATAGTGCAATTCGCGGAGGAAAATTGCGGTAAGGCCAGCCTTAAGATTATTTTTGTTTCCTCTCCCGCAACCAAAGCAAGTTTAGGTACGGTACGAGGTAGGTAGATAAAAAATTTATCTAAAAACATTTTTTCACCTATCTAAACTTATAGCGAATTCAAAACTAATTGTGAATGCTTAGCATCTGTTTAAAGTTTGGAACCATATTTCAATATTTTCCCATTTTGTATACCTACAATTAAAAACATGAGACAGATATGAAGATGTGATTCTCATTGACAGGCTATGCTCCAATATATAGTAAAAATATTTACTAGGCAATAACTTGTTTCAAGTTTCCGTGATTTTTTTGTGGTTAGGGAGCGGGAGGGGAAACAAACAATATTTTATTCAAGGCCTATTATGATCATGCGAACAAACACGTTTGTTTGTCAACATTTTGCGGCAAACCCTGTATGATCATGAATAACTAAATAACACTAACTATGAACTACATTTAATTAACTTTGAACTAATTAAACTTAATGTTGAACAGTGGCAATTGACTAGATTGATAATTTTTTCAGATAGAAAAATCTGTCGTCCCCGTCTCATATTTCCTCAACACGTCTTCTTTGATAGAAAAAGTATAAATATAACATTTTGTATATTTTTACAAACAACTAAATCTAAAGTGTTTGGAATTAATTTTTGTCCAATGGAGTTGCAGCAGTTCAAACGGATCATAGCAAATTTACTTTTTAGTAAATTGTCAGCTTTAAATAATTTCAAAACTGCGCCGTTCTTGACCTATTAAGATTTATATTTTTTACTAATAAAACATAACCTGTACATAAATGACAATTTCTAGTATGTTGTCAAAAATAATTATATAAAACTACATTGTAATGTAATTACTAGTATAATGTAAGCTTTACTTTGAAGTTCATTTATTGAAGTTTTATTTTGTCTAATGAGGATATCATTCCATTGCGCCGTGAAATTATATCATTTAAATATCATTAAAGTGGATTGGTCTACAGTTGGCACATTTTCCAGAAGTATTGCAAGTGCATGTATTGAGAGTAGCATTTGGATGTTCTAAAAAAATGCTGGTTGAGAAAAAATGAGGCTTAAATCCTATTTGTTTTAGAAGGACATTTATATGATGAATAGAATACTATTATCTGCCATATATGTAATAGATCTCATACTTGCCAACAACTTCCATGTATAATTATTTCGTCGTTTGTTGGTATGTCTAATAATAAATGTATTCATTGTATTACAAACCTTCTATTATAGACCATTGTATATACTTTAATGCTGACTAACAAAACATTAACTATACATTATTCTGTCAAAAGAAACAGTATGCACGCTGAATTGACCATTACAGTTCGATTTATTTTTAGAGTACACATGTTCAGACCCACAAACCATTCCGCTATATGACGTTCTGCTGGATGGAACCTGGAGCTTATGGGCCAGCCGGAAATGGTGTTTTGATCTGAAATGACTATTGACAGTTCGATATTCGGCTTAACGTCGGCAAAATACCAGAGTATAATCGACAGACACACTGATACCAGAGAACACATCAAACACGACAAACTTATTTTGAAAGTGATCGTCATTTCTTTTTATTTTTCAGTAGTAGCCGTTTTTCAGGTTGTTCTGGCTAACCGGAATAACCGAAAATTGTGGTAATATCTAATATGAAAAAACATGAATTAAACCCCATAATCTTTTGCACAAGTTTGACTGTATCATCGCTTGCTCGACTCCGGCTGCTCCCAGCTGTCTGGCTTTCTTTACAAACATATTCACACATTCTTTTTAATGCTTTTTATAGATACAAACTGTAACTGCAACACAATTTTATAGATTCATTTTAGTTCTAATCCGCTTTATGTATTCTCTGAATATTACATTTTTCATGTAATACAATTTCATTTATTTCCATTAAGTGCTGCCTCGGTACTTGCAATGCCACTTTTTGGGGTACCAGCCGTAGTTAATTTTTTTGCTAGTACATTGTAATTCAATATCTGTACCAGTATGTGCAGAATAACTAAAGTACATTTAATGCATGTCTGTTTTTAACCGGACTATGACTCGGATCCACAATCCCTGGGTTCAGAGGCAGACACCTTTTCCATTTAGGGACGACTTCCTCAATTTAAAATGTCAAGTTAGGGAAATATAAGGAAATTATCAGGGAAATTTAGATAGATATATTTGTGGACACTATTCTGGAAATAAAGATGATCAAAAACAACTTTTTTTAAAGTTTTAATTAAGTTAAGTTAATGAATTAAGTTAATGACCCCATAAGTTACAAAGAATATTTTGAGCAAAATTCTAAAAATCAAAGGAGAGATAACTCTTGAAATATATTTGCTAGTTATGACTGGATCAAAATATCACAAGATCATGAAAATAGTATTTCATCTATACTTATGGATTTGCCATTGTCAAATTTAACACACTGAAATAAGGTGTGTTTTAGGACAAATAAGGAAATATTTGGCATGTACACTGTATGTGTTAAGATAACAAATACATGAACTATGAACTTCATTTCTCCCCCTCTGCTTACATCATGGCTTGGGACATGCTAGTTACTAGAACTAGGCAATATTGGAAGAAGTGTAGTTTTATAGTTAGTCCAATCACAAACACCCTGCTTAGCTTGAATATACTGGATGGTTTGAGTCCATACAAATCGCTACACTTCTCCCCCAGTCATTTTCCCACAGTCAGTGGCCAGACAGTTTCTATGGTAAATGTCACAAAGTGTCCATACACGTGTAATTCCGGAATTAAATGTTTAACACCGATTACTTTCGAGTCCGCTTCCTGGAACTAACCAGTACTGGTGTCATATGAGGAATCATGATCATGTCGAGGTCGGGCTCGAAACCATGATTCTTAGCTTGAGAGGCAGACACCTTAAGTTTTGCAAAAGATGTTTATTATATTTCTTATTTCTTCTACATTAATTTCTCTCGAACTCAAAAAGTAAACCGTGTTCAAAATCGAAAGAAAAATGTCCGCAAAAAGTATTGTCAAACAAAATTATTTTTTCTTTTATCTTGTCACTGCATATAGTCATGAATGTGGTGCAAAGTTGCAGTTTTAAAATGGGACACTGAAAAATCATGTGAAAGTAATAACTTTGATATAAAAGTAATGTAATCACATTTTACAACTAGGGTTACTGAAATTACTGATGAACAGTGAAAATTACCAATAGTTATCTATATAATTAAAAACATTATATGAAATTACCTACACAGTTTGATTCTTGTTACAGTATGTGTGGAAATTCTATAATGCTGTTGTGTTCTGTTGGGATTATAAAATTTCAAAATTAGCTTTTAAATAATACCAATTACACCCAATTACAGCTCTAATGATATGGATTTCACCCATAGTTTGATAAAATCCAAACATGTGTTTGATATATCTGAACAACAAGTATCATCTGTATAAGAGAAACCTGCTTTTGTCTCTCTGCGCATTAGCCTTTGAAATTAAACGTTTGCTTTTCTCACATAAACATCCAACTTTTCTGAGAAATATGTGAAAGGCACATACGTTTTCACATATTTTAAAGATTTTCATGAAAATTAGCATAGATCTGGAGGTTTGCTGCTTTAAAAGTACTTTGATTATACTTAAAAGCTTGGAGTCAGGAGAAACAGTGGCATATTAAAGAAATACAAAATGTATTGATATGTCACAACTGTTAGACATACTCTTTCCATTCTTCCTTAAGATGTATGTAGTAAAAAGGAATTTAAACGACATATTTATTTTGTTTCATTCATCTGTTTTTAAACAATGTGCAAATGAAATCAACTTTAGTCAACTTTTTATGACACAATAAAATTTATTACAGAAATGATATTGCTCAAGAATAACGCGTTTTAATTTCATATAAGCTTTGTAACGGTGTAACAAAGCTTACCTCTTCAAGGGTATCATTATCTTTACTTATATAGCTATCATACCGATTTCCTCCATCATGCTCAGATCACTAAATAGAAAAGAAAATTGAATACCCCAATTTTCAGCAATTATGCTCTGAAAAAATAAGGCATTTCAGATTATTATGTTTATTTACATTTTATGGCATTTAAACACAAAAAGTCATACATACGATAATGCAGGCCGTCACTACAAAGTTACTAAATCTTTTCTGTCATCAAGTCACATCTACAGCTCCTTATATGAAAATAAAAAAGGTTTAATAAATATTTAGGCAATGATTAGAAAAGAGAATAAATCTGTATTGCTTTAAAAATATTAGAAGATACACATTTTAACAACAAACTATAATACATGGCTACCCACATAGCCAGAATATCGCAACGGAAAATAAAAGGTCATATTTTGGACAATTGGAAAACTGCAATGTAAAGGACAAGCAATTATTTTTATTCCGATGAGAGAAATTTTGGTTTAAATATACAAATAAGTTACATTAGAACTATATTTTGACAACAGCATTACAATATTAGACAACACACTATGATTACAAAAAAAGTTCAATATGTTTACATTTAGCGGAAATAATAAGGACTTCACAAAGGAAAATATTACGACACACATTTGACAACTGGTAAACAGCAATATAGAAATAAAGGCACATATGGTATTTTATTTGGATGAGAGAACTTTTGATTTTAACATACAAACAGTATTTGATTTGGATGGGAAAAACTTATTTAAGCATTGAACAATATATTTTCAGCGAAAATAACACGGCAACCGGCGTAACCAGGACATCGCAACAGAAAATATTAGGACGCATTGAACAAGTTGAAACCAAAAGTTTTATATAATTAAATGACACAGTATTTTTTTCGGATGGGAGAAATTGTAATTAACATATACATATTAGTAGCACTGAAACTACATTTTTAAGCAAATATTAGACAATAGATTTTAATTACAACACAAGTACAATATGTTTACATTT